AGGTATTTTTGCTTCATGGTTGTATTCGTGCGCTCATCAAGAATTGCAAAAAGAAGACAGCAGTTGGGCAAAACCCTTGGCTCCAGGTAGTTAGGGTTGGGGGTTTGAGGTTAGGGTGTAGTTCAGAAAAGGACGCTTGTTCAGATTCCATGTTCGATGCTCCTTGGCACTTTACCGGAGCTTAGGTAACAAAAGAAACTCGACAGGCCCTGAATCCTCAACGCTGAACCATATGAACCCTATATAACCCCTACACAATCCTTATACCGCCTCTATATACCCTAGTAGTTTCTATGTTCTTCGAAATTGCCCCTTGGGGTAATAAAAGAAATTCAACAGACCTAATCCACAACCCCGCAACTTTTAACCATTAACCCAAACCCTACCCTATCATTGCTAAACCCTGTAATCCCTAAGCCCTATAACCCCTAAATCCTCATCCCTAAACCCTAAACCCTAAGGCCACCTTTTCGTAGGATCCAGCGGATTCCCTTCCCACGCTTCTTACCACGCCTGCATCGCCATCTCTGCGTGACGGCGCAGGCTTGTCCCCTAACCCTAAGGATTTAGGGTTTAGGCTTTAGGGTTTAGGGTTTGGGATTAGGGGTTAGGGATTTAGGGTTTAGAGTTTTTGAGCCCCAAGTACATAAGTTAGTCGATGTTCCCTAACGCCAAAGTAAGGATTTCAAGTGTAATAATCCCAAAGTATATGAGTATTGTATATTGGACTCTGGGGTAAGGCTATGGGGTTGTGGGGTTGATATTTGGCCTAGGATTCAGGATCTATAGGGTTCCCTAAACCCTAAACCGTAAATCCCTAAACCATACACCCTAAACCCTAAACCAACAGTAGAAGTCACACTGCTCCATGGCGCTCGCGCCGCTATAAGCTGATGGTCTAGGGTTTAGGGTTTAGGGTTCAGGATTTGGGCTTTAGGGTTTAGGGTCCTTTTCATATGTTTACCCTTCAGGGCGCTATGTTCAGAGTCGAGGTAAGTCTGTGTTTTGAAGGGAACGAGGGGTTTGAACCCAGTGTCTCAACATAAGGGGCAACCTTGGTTTCAAGGGGGTTCTACCCTAAACCCTACCTGTACCCCCAATTACCTACAGTGTAATAGTGGTTACCCCTAAATTAGTACGTATAACCCATAAAAGTTTAGGTAATTGGCGTTACAGGTAAACTTCAAGCACGCAAGAACCTCAGTGCTTTTTGCAGTACAGCCACGCTTGGAGACGTAGCTGTAATGTGGCTAACTCACAAAGGATCCCAAGTACCTGTGTAGTTTAAAGTTTAGGGTTTAGGGTTTAGGGTCTATACTAGGAACTCATAACGTGGTTTGGTCTCGTATCCCTTGTATAAGTACTTGGAGCCTTTGAGATTTAGCTTGTGCCTCATTGGCCAGGGCGGCCATGTTTCTTCAGCTATGCCTCGACGGCGGTGGGATAATGTTGGGTTGTGTAGGGTTTATGTAGGGATTAGGGGTGTGACCCCCATACAATGCAGAATCAAATGGATAAGAAATGGACATTGACATGTAAACTGGGTTCATATAGGGGATTATGTTCCCAGAACAACTTTGCCATGGCAACCGGCGCCGTGATCTCTGGACCTAGACTCTGGCGGCTTTCTGTTTTTGTGTGGTGTGGAGTGAGAGATGTACGCTTCCATCAGTGCGGAATGTCGTGTTGCTCAAGTTCAAAGCATTACATTGCAGCCTAGGTCTACCAAAGTAAAGCGTTAGGTGCAGAACCCTTATCCGCGGTATCGCATACGATATGTAAAGCTACATCGCTGAACGCCGTATATCGGACAATCAGCGCTACTTCTGTACCCCCGATACCCTGAACTCTCCGCTGAACAAGCACAGAAACCATCCACCATGAGTTGTGTTGGCCTGCTTCATACGAAAAGACGGCTGACCGGCGTTCCCTAAATCCTAATTCCCAGGGGTTCAAGTACCCAAATATTGGAGTTTTGCGTTCTAAGATCAAGAAAATCTCTGTGGTTGTTTAACCCCAGATTTATTTGCTTTGACCCTCAGGGTAAAGGTGTAGAGTTGAGGGTTTACCCAGGGAACCTGGGATTCTGAAGGGATTATATAAGGGTTTTCATTTTGAGGATTCTATACCTGGACTTTAGACCTCCCAACTACCAATAGGGTTTAGGGTCTAGGGTTTAGGGATAACCGCCTTCAACCACAAAATGAAAGTTACTAGGCTGTTCTTTCAAATTTTTTGGGTACTTGATAGGAATTGAGTTTTATTGGCCCACGTATGTACTTCGCAGGCCGCCGACTGCGGCAGAAACTGACCAAAGTTTTATCTGGTTCGGCATTGGGTTTTGGGTTTGGGGTTTACCTAGACCCTCCAATGTAGTATTTTGGTAGTCCTAATAAGAGTCCTAACCAAGTAGGCACAGCCAATAAGCCTTGAACGGAAGTAACTGGGCTCCAGGTGCGCGATTTACAGCGTTTTCCCTGCACGAGCCCCTGTGTAGCCCATAGAAGCCGCAAACTTGTTGCGAAATAGTTGGGCCCTGGCCCTAGACCGTACCTAGCCCTTCCACATACCCAGAATGATAGCGTATATACAAAACCCTAAGGGTCAAAGTACCCAAGAATCATATACTTACCCCAAACGTGTACTATAATAATTACTATTACCCAAATCCCAAGTACCTAATTATTGGGTACTTGGACCCTGTAGGAAAAGTGATTTTGGAGATCCGGGTTAGCCTTCCAACCCTAAACCCAAACCCTCCAAGCCTTCAAAGAAAGGCGCCGTTGGCTCCCCGTCCAAAGATGATGTGCCCGGCGGCTTGACGGACGGATAAGACGGGATTATAGATTTAGGGTTTAGGGTTGTTTAGGATTTAGGGTTTAGGGTTGGAGTATAGAAGGTCTAGGAACACCACCCCCAACAAAGGAGATTAAAACTGGCAAGAACATGGAACATGAAATGGAAACTATGGTATGTACGGCGATATAGGGATTTTATAGGGTTTAGGTATATCTCCCCAACAGTGGAGAATCAAATAGAAAAGATATGGATCATAAAAGGGAAACGACTATAGAGTTGACGGAGGTGACTTGGGGGGTTTTGGTCAGCGCCTGAATAAAGTGATTGGAGCATACCGAGAAGTGCTTTGTAAACAACTGCCGTCTAGCCCGGCTTCACAGAACATGGCCTAGACTCTAGACTTTCAAAGATTACCTCATGTGAACCGTAGTCTAAACTCCAGAAAGGAGGCTATCAGGAAAATGATATAGGGCACCATTATTGGGGTTGCTAAGGGGGATGCTAGGAGTTTAGACTATGGTGCATGTAGCCTCCAGCCCTGAACCCTAAGCCCTGAACCCTAAACCCTAAATCTTAAACCCCAAATTTCAGTAGTTTCCATCATATTGTTCATCCCTTCATTCCTTGGTGTGCAGATGTACTCCAGCATTCTACAAGCAGTATCTGGGCTTCTTTGTCGTTTTCTGTGATGTAGGCACAGAGTGAATACGCTCTGGACTGGGTGTTTGAAGTTAAGGTTAAGGGCTTAGCATTTAGGTGTAGGGTTTAGGGTTGAAGGTCCCAGGTCTCGTTTAGGGTTTAGCATTTAGGTTTCGGACCTGGGTTTAGGGGTTTAGTGCCGACAAGACAGACCCCAAGCTCTTCGGCACGTAGGGTTTGATGTCAGGGTCCTTTGGAATAATTGTAAACGCTAGCGCTCGCACGCCTCGGCTTGCGGGGCTTCCCAATGTAGGAACATGTAATTATAGATATACAGGTATTTAAGTTAGGTATATAGATACAGTCATATGCCTATTACATACACAATAAAACCCTAGAAGTCCAACTAGGGACGCGCAAGTAGGACCCAGGAAACCG